AGGGTTGGGTATGTTTGGATTTTCTTTACTGTGAACTTCACTCATCTTACCCAGATGCTCAGCCACAGTGTTGCTGTGGAGTTGAGATATCATCCTTATTTCTAAGTGTGATGATTGTAATCTGGTAAGACTATGATAACTTTACTTTTATTTCAGCAGCCTTGAACCTCATCACTCCGTCACAGAATAACTACTCAATGTGGCCCAGATGTTCAAAAATAAGGTGCTTTGTATTTTTTTAAACAGCATTTGACATGTACAAATTGTAAATAATGGTGCTTTTCAAAACTTTTATTTAGCTATGTTAACCAGCTTTATTACAGTAGTAATAAGAATGGATTGATCACAGTACTGTTACAATTTAATTATAACCTGCTCACAACTTATGTCATGTACAATGGCTGAATGTATAATTTTCATTGAAAGACAAGCATCAATCAGCATGAACAACAATGCTGAGGAAGACATTTCTATTCTATATCTGTAGAATAAGTACTGCCCTTGCATTTATTTCAACAAATTTTTCCTCCCATTACCTTACCAGATTTCTAACAGAAAGTCTCACATTCAGATAACGGCACTTTTGTATTGAGCTGTATGGTTATTTTGTTCTGCCAGTCATCAAACTAAGACTTCATTTTGAAGAACTGGCCTCAGGCCTTTATGCTGGTACTGTTCATCTCACTTTGGAAGTTCACTCATCATAAACTGTCAGCATAACTTCAGTTCTTTCTCTTATAAAGTGAAATAGCTCACAATACAAACTTAGATGAGAGATCATTAATCCTGGCCATAGCCAAACCAACTGCAAACATAGTTCCTCCTCAGGAGGTCTTCTCATGCCCTTGCCATTGTTTTGGTTTTCAAATCAATACATAAAAAGTTTTAAAACAGGGTTATACAACACACTGTTGGCAGCATTCTGCTGTTGGAAATTCTGTGAACATTGAAAATTTGTAAATCATCAAAGTTTCTAAAAGCTTTGCAATCAAAATCTCTGCAAATTAACAAGTTGAATTTTAAAAAAGTGTGCTGTTGGACAAACTTCCCTTCAACAGTTAACAGAAAAATAAACTCCATCCCAAAACAAACCAAGTGTGATTCCTATCACCACTACATTCAGAGTGGCAAAGTGGCTTGTTCTTGCAACAATCAATACTGAAAAATAAATACAAATTGATATTCCTTAAGGAACTCACAACAGGCCACCATAAAATGCAAAACATACCCTTACAGGAATATCACAATTTAAACATTTGATTAAAAAAATAGAACCTACATTCTACTGCGTGTGAAATTCCTTCAGGGGTCAATGTTTGTGTTATTTCATAGACGGTACCTTGAAATTGTCCACCCAAGTTAGAGTGGACAATCCAGAGAACACCAAAGGAAATTCAACCTTGAATGCAATTTTGCTTGCACTAGCTTTCAATACGCCAGAAGAAGAAATTTGAGTAGAACATAATTTCACTATTTCTATTCCACAAATATATTAGAAGCTAACTAGTTAAATTAACAAGAGCAGTGCTCCATAACTTGCAGAGAATATCACCAGTAAAGCTGTTTCCTCACCGTGCAGTAATGCAAACTTAGGCAAGTTGCACAAGTCTTTCACCCAGAAGATGGGTCAATAATTCATATCTTTAATCTCATCCAGTGTAATCTGTGTACAACAAACTATAAAAGGAACTGGTGATTGCCAATTACAGTTTTACTTCGGGGAAGCTGATATCCACATTCCTGAGAGGTCCAAAACTTTTACAGAAAACAAACAAGTTATAAAAAAAAAGGAAAGAAACAGCAATGGGTTTATTGAAAGAGAATAAAAAGAGAAAAAGGATCAATCACCACTTCACAATATTTATACTTTCAGTCAGGATTGCCACTTAAAGTCTATTGTCCTTATGGCTGTGGCTTCCACCGTGCCTGCGTCTTCTCTTTGGCTTCACATGCTCCTTTTCTTCTGTTGGCCAAGTAAATCCATTGATAGTAACCATTCCATTTTCATTATCAATCTCTTCAGAGTCAGAATCTTCTTGGATCGTTCCTGCCAAGCTTTTGTCAGGATAAATTTCTTTTAGGTTTTCTTCAAAGCATGCTTCTAAGCTTCTTCCAGCTTGGGCCACCTCTGAATCTGGCTAAATTAAAACAAAATCATTGCATATTAAACAAATAAATTCCAAATTTAACGTGCACACAAAAAATCAGCATGGCACAATCCATAACGTATATAATGCCTTGTTATACATCCAAATTTGATTTATCATATCTAAGACTTGGAATTCAGAATGCAATATCAGGAATGAACACATTAATAGATCAGTTTTAAATTCTTCTTTTTAAAATAATATTTTTGGCCATCAAGTGGATCAAGTTAGGTTGACCACAAAACAAATCATACAATGCATTAATTGAGATGTTCAAGCATCAGTATTACACCATCAATTTTAACCCAACAGATCTAAAAGCAACAGACTTTCTACACAAACTCAGTCTACAAAACAGATGGATAAGCCAACTTTTTTTTAAAAGTAATTGAAGATAACATTATCAAAGATGTGAAGTTTGCTGCTCACAATGTAGTTTCCTGTATTTTGGGTACACAAGACTACTTTGCAGAACATCTATGTTTTGTCTGTAAAACAGAGCCCGCGGAAGCTTCAAGTTGCCTGTCACTTCAACACATCGCCACGTTCCCTGTCATGGGCCTGTTGTGGTGCTCCTACAAGGATCAGCACAAGCTGGAAGAACAGCATCTCATCTTCCACTTGGGGACCCTGTAGCCTTCAGGACTCAATATTGAGGTCCAAAATGTTAGAAGCTGAACACCACCTTCCATGTCCTTTACCCATACCCACACCCCAGGCCCTGTCATGACATGTGCAGCTTTCAGCACAGCCAATGCATTTTCACCTACTCATTGTTCTCATTATCAGCTTTTCTCCTTCCCTGGCTTACTGTCCATTTGTCTGCTTAACTTTCTTTCTCTCTCTCCGGGCTCTGTCTCCACCTATCCACTCACTTCTTCTCCCCACCACCACCTCCTGTCATCAACATAAACACCACCTTTTCCTAAGTTATTATCAGTTCTGAAGTGTCACTGGATTCAAATTGTTAACTCTGTTTTCTCTCCATAGATGCTGCAAGGCCTACCGAGCTCCTCCAGCAATTTCTGTTTTTGACGTGAATTTCTGCTCTGGGGAACTATGCTGATTTCGTGCTCCTCCAAACCCAGATGGACTCAGAAGGATGCAGACTGAATTTTTCACAGTTCTTAAAGAAACATACTGACAAATGCTACCCAGTACATTCCAAAATTATCTGAGTCAAACATCAACCAGTTCACCACCAAAGTATTTTTGCAAGATCACACTGACTCTAGATCCCATTGGAAAGTAACTTAAAAATTTATATATTACAAAAATCTCGTCACGGTATAAAATGGAGTAATGTTGAGGGCCAGTCTAATGTAACAGAATGCAGAATTTTGTATATCGTTGGGTTATTGCTATTAATTATTCAAACCCAGTGCTTATGGGAAATAATGCAACTACATTCCTTGTGACAAGAATATCTTTAAATTGACACATGGATAGAAACGGAATAAGTCATATTACAATAAGCTGCATACATACAACCAAAGAGTAGCTGCTATGAATATATCATCAAAATTCATTGTAGGGCTCATAAGATCAAGACCCATACTGCAGGACTTCACAAACAGCAGGCAAAACAATCCGATAAACCAAGCCATAATGAAGTGACATCATAAAAGGAAGGAAACAATGGGAATTTCTGCAATTGAAACATACAAGTTTAGACAACAGCAGTAGCATAGAGACATGTAAATCTCACTCACATAATTAAATTTTGCACAATTCATAAGCATGAGGTGAATGTCAGAAATGAACTCTTCTGGTGTGTAGTAATGAAGGGGATTCTTTTTCTGAAGTTTTGCCCTGATGGTAGAAAGATCCATTGGCCTTTTGATAATCTGGTAGTAGTGACGTGCCTAAATAAAAGAGAATGCTTATTAATATGTGGCATAAATTTTAAAAAAGAAAGATATTACTAGAAACATTTTATATATGCATATTTTATTTCCACTTTATCATTTAGAAATTCCTTGCTTGTCATCGAGGGTTAGTTAGTTGGACTGGAAATCTAGAATAATGACTGACTTTTTTCCCCTTTCCCAACCCATGAGGAATAATTTAATTGAGTAAATGCTGAATATTGAGAAGAATAGCATGAATCATCACACTTAGGGGCTCCCTGATCTGGATTACTTGAATAACCAAAGTTATTACTGCACGACATATCATGCTTTCACTATCTACCCATCTTCTACATTTCTCCTGAACCTCTGCTTTTGTACGCCACGTACGTTGTAGGGCTCACAATTCAGATAGAATAAGAAACATACAAATGTCTTTTCTTTCTAATTTCTGTACAGAATACCAAGTGGATTAGAGTAGTTCAAGAAGAAGGCTTACTACCAACTCCTCAAGATCACTTAATGATAGGCAACCCTTGCCAACGATCATCACATCTAATGAAACAATATTTAAAAATGAACAAAATAATCATTTTAACTTGCACTAATATAGTCCCATGACTGTAGGAAAGCATCTTAAGGACTTCAGAAAGGCACCTAGCCATTGTTAAAAACTATTGGAAATTACACAGATATTTTAAAGCTGAAGAGCCATACTCTATCGCTTCTGGGTCAAAGGTTCTCACATACAATATCAAGTTATTTATTTAATACTTCCTCCATCTATGCCCTATTTTTGACTCTTACCAAATAACTGTTTTAGAAATCCACCCTGGGTCCCAGTCATTCACAATTTATATCAAATGATTTGGTTATGGGGACTAAATATAATAGTTCCAAATGTTCTGATAACACAAAAGTACTTGGATGTGTGAGTTGGATGCAAAAAGGAGGATGCAAAAAGGCTTCATGAGGATTTAGGCAGGCTAAGTGAGTGGACAGGATTGTGGCAGATGGAATATAATTTGGAAAACTTTAAGTTATTCAAGTTTTCATTTTGGTACAGTGATGCAGAGTATTTCTTAAATGATGCGAGATTGGGAAATGCTGGTGTCCAAAGGGGCTTGAGTGTGATCATTCACTGAAAAGGTAATGTGCAGTTAACAAGCAATTAGGAAGGTAAATTATATGTTCGTCTTTATTGTAGGAGGGTTTAAATACAGGAGTAAAGAAGTCTTGGTGTAATTGTGTAAAACCTTGGTGAGACCACACCTGGAAGACTGTACATTCTGGTTTCCTTGCTCAGGAAAGGATATAATTGGCATAGACGGAGAGCAAACCAAGCTCACCAGACTGATCCCTGGAATAACAGGATTTCTCCATCAGGAGAGATTGAGAAAAGAGGGCTTTAACTCTCCAGGGTTTAGAGGAATGAGACATAATCTCAATGAAGCATAAAAAAATCTCAATGCTTGACAGGTTATGTGCCAGAAGGAGATTTTGCCTGGTTTAGAGGTTTAGAACCAGGGACACTGTCAAAGAATCATACAGCATGGAAACAGACCCTTTCATCCATCCTAATCAAGGTTTCCAAACTAAACTAATCCCACTTGCCTGCATTTGGCCCATATCAGTCTGTCCTTTTCCTTTCATGTACCTGTCTAAATGTCTTTTAAATGTAACTATACCTGTATTTACCACTTCCTCTGGTAGTTCATTCCACATATGAAACACCCTGTGTGTGAAAACGTTATCCCTCAGGTCTCTACTAAATCGTTCTCCTCTCACCTTAAAAATATGCCCCCTTGTTTTGAACCCCCATGCCCTGGGGAAAAGATCTTTGCCAATCACCTTATCTATTCCCTCTGCCAATCACCTTATCTATGCTGTCCATGATTTTATAAACCTCTACAAGCTCATCCTTCAATCTCCAATGCTCCAGTGAAAACGTTGCAGCCTCTCTAACCTCTCCCTATAACTCAAACCCTCCAGTCCCAAAAACATCCTTTCAGGTTAAAAGGCAGGCCATTTGAGACCAAGATGGAGTGGCTGAATCTTTGGAATTCTTTACCCTTGAGGGCTGTCCAGGCTCAGTAAGTGAGTACATCCAAGGCATTTAAAAAAAAAAGAGATCAAAAGGTTTCTAGATATTAAAGATATCAAAAGTGAGAAAAATGAGAAGGTGATCATCCATGATTTAGTTGAATTGCAAAGAAGAATCAAGGAGTCAAAATGGCCCCATTTCCTATGTTCCATCCACTTCATTCCATCTCCCGCTGTAATATTGTTAGTGCTCAACTTGAAACTCTCTCAACTATCTCTTTATATGTTAATCACAAGCTAAGCAGTTTGAACAAGTCAATCCACCTAAAGTTGTACAAATCTGATTGATTCCAGGTCAGTGACTTTTTAAGAGTTAACTTGTTATGCAAGTTAAAATCTAAGCTTAAATTCAGGTGCAATAATAAATACATAATGTACCACTCAATACCTTCAACTGTGGAACCGGCCTAGTATTTAGACTACAGGAAGCAAAATGCGCCCAATTAATAGCAAGTTCCATTCATTCATATTGCTGCATCATCAGGTTGATCCACACAATAACCTGCACTCATTTTGGTGATCCTCTTCAATACAGAAAATCACTTGTGTATATTTCATCAGATCATTGCCTATACATCATTCCAAATGGATAAACAGATCAATATCACAATGCCCATGCCAACATTGCACACATCCTCTATATGAAATGTAATAGCAACTGACATCAAGCTATGCTCACCAAAGGACTGACGGGTTCATGGAATGGCAGGCTTAGCGGATGACAGTAAAGGTGTAGTGCCAGCTTTTCACATTTCTGCAAGCAGCACAGTTTGGAGGTTAATAAAGAAGGTCAGTAAGTTAATGGACACATGCATTTACACATTATTAATCACTATCTGATTTAGAAACTTCAGGCAAGTTATTAAATATACTGGATATTAAAAGGAAAACAGTCAACAGGCTCATATGCTTCATATTGGAAGCACTGTTCATACTTTTACATTCTGCTTAACAGCATATTCTATCTTTAATATGTAGCACCCTGAACAGGAATATTAAATACATTGTGCATACTTTATGAAAGCTATTAGAAATGTAGTAAATAAGAGAATATTACAAATAAATTCCCAAACTCAACTGCAAAAGAAAGCAAACAAAAGTTACATTGCTAAAAACCTGATGTTTTAAGAACCTGAGGGCCAAATTAGCGGCATTCTGTTAGGCAAATGAAAATACACCTTGAAGTCTTACGTTCAAAAACTAATTTATTAACAATGTACTGAATTGAAGTGCTGCTGCTCACCCTTTGGTCACCAATGGAGAGACCCTGTAATGTTCTTATCCCCCTGTTTTCACTGATATGTCGTGTGTTTTCACAATCATATTCCACTTCTGGCATCACAACATTCCGACACAATGTACACAACCACTCACCCCTGTAAATCAACATTTTGAACACACGTAAATAACTGGGCTGAACTTTTGAAGAGAAGTATCATCATTCATGACTTTTTTGCCAAAAATATCAGTTACAATGACTCTCAGCTATAGCCTGTTTGCTAAAGAGACTTGCCAGTGTACAATCTTGTATGGTCTGAAGTTCCTTTCTGAACCTATGGCAGGTTACATGGTGACAATAGTAAAATAAATACAGTTTCGAATGACATGTACTCCAGACTGTTAATGGAGACATGACAGTAATTATCAAATCCTCTCTGGCAACAGGTGAGGGACAAGAGGACTAGAGGACTACTAAAATTTTCCCGTTACTTAAAAAGGAAGGGATAGACCAGGAAATTGCAGGCCATTCAGCCTAACCTCAGTGGTGTGGAAGTTGTTTGAAAGAATTCTGAGGGATGGAACATATCTGCGTTTGGACTGAGACAAATTAATCAGGGATAGTCAACACGGATTTAATAAGGCAAGAGATAGCAGGAACTGCAGATGCTGGAGAATCTGAGATAACAAGGTGTAGAGCTGGATGAACACAGCACGCCAAGCAGCATCAGAGGAGCAGGAAAGCTGACGTTTCGGGCCT